CCCTCTCCATGAAAATCCATCCCACCAGTCTCCTAAATCTGATCCCCCTCCTCTCAACTCTGAACCCCTCCTGATTTGCTTTCTTCCTCAGACTTCACTCCTGCCCCACTGATGACCACCCCTCACCCCTGCTGCTGCTCCTCTTCCACATCCTACCCTGAGAGTTGTGTCCTCCCTAAGTCTGGCCAAGAATTTGCCTTTCCCACTCCCAACCCCCAAACTTTTACCTGTTATCCCTTCCCTACCTCATTCCTATCTGCACCTCTTACCCAATCCTTCTCTATTTTATCTCCGTGAGGTTGCCGGCCCTGAGGGCCCTACATGTTTCCACCGAACCTTTTATGTCAGTGATCTACCTCATAGAAAAGTGAACTCCTTTGTCTCTGACCTCAACACCTACTACAAAGAATTTCAGTATCTTACCCCGTCCTTTGACCTAACCTGACATTTATGTGACCTTGATTTCTACCCTCTCCCAAGGACAGGGAGTGCATTTGCATGGCAGATCTTGCATACATACGCCCACTCTTTGTAACCAAGATAGGATTATAACCCATTCCGTGGTGAGGCAGTTTCATGCATGATCCTCTCCTCTTTGGAATTGCGGTCCAATTCCCCGGTGATTTCTCAGACAACTACCTACGTGCCTCTTGGTGGGAATGGAAAAGGCTGCCCTTAAGGCAGTCAATTAGGACAAAATCAAAGAGATTACTCAGGGAGCTGACAAAAAAAGCCAGCCTTGTTTTCCTCTAGCCTATCTGAAACCATGAACATTCTAAATACACCAACCTGACTCCTAACACCTTGTGAGTGAAGATTCTCTTCCCTCCTTCATTTTATCTCTCAGCCAGCACCTGCTATTAGGAAAAAACGTCAAATATTAGAGGAATGGCCCCCACGGCCCTCAAAGATACCTTATAAAAATAGCCTTTAAAGTCTTTGACAACACAGAGGAGAACCTTAAAATTCAAAAGCTCAAAAGAGACCAGGCTAAATATCAAATGCCAGCAGCACTTTAAACCAAGGTTTATCGTAGGGTAACTCAGACAAGGGAGCAACACCCTCTCCACTCAGGTCTAGGCCTTGGGGGCCTGCTTTAAATGTGGTCACTGAGCAAGAGCCTGCCTACAACCTACAACCACCATCTCACCCTTGCCCCTAATGTGGGGATAAAGGACACTGGACACTGGACATTGTTCTACAAGACACCACCAGTTCCAGCGTGACAGCTTCTGTTCCTGCTAGGTCCCAGTCACTGGCTCAAGCTTGGTGAGCCTGCTGGGATTGACAAGTGCTAACAACTGACGGAGCCCAGAGGTCTGTCAACCTCATTCAACTCAGGGAAACACTGTCAATAGCTGGTAAGATCATTTCTTTTTTAATTGATATGAGAACAAATTATTCGGTTTTTGCCAGAATTTGCTGGGCTGGTATGGGAGACCCCTCTCTATTATGGGAGTGGAAGTCATACCACCAGACCTGAATAACTGTGCAAACTTTCGGGGTAACCCCCTTCCTGTTCCTTCCTAGTCATCCCCACTTGTCTGACCCCTCTCCTTAGGACATAATGGAAACGCTCCAGGCTTCTTTTACCTTTTCATCACAATGCCCCCGTGAAGTAACTTCCTTCTTAGTTTGTCGTTCAGACTTGACCCCTTCCCGGGACACCCTCACCACCTGTACATGCTGTTCATCTTCTGGTCTGGGATACCTCCCACCCCACTGTTGCTACCCCTCAAGCCCCCATACTTATTAAATTGCAGGACTACTATGCTTTTGTATGCCAGGCCCAACACCCTCTTCCTGCCTCTAGGAACTTAATCCTATAATTATCAGACTCCTCAAATCCTGAATTTTATGGCCTGCTAACTTTTCCCACAACACTCCTATTTTGATAGCTCAAAACCCAGATGGTTCCTACCACCTACACCAAGACTTATACATGATTAACCAAGTTGTAATCCTTATTCACCTGGTGGTTCTCAACACTATCCCTTCTATCTGGAATTCTATCCCGTATCTCTCATTTCTCAGTACTGGATCCCAAAGACACTTTCTTTACTATTCCCCTTGACCTATCTTGTCAAGTCTTTTTCAAATTTACCGGGACAGACCCTGACAGTCAAATGAGCACCCAGAAAATGCAGACAGTCCTTCTCCAAGGATTCCTCTCTTTGGCCCATAAGTCCTCTGGATAACCCACGAACACTCAACCTTCTCCCAGCATTCTTCTCCAATATGAGGATGATATTCTTTTCTGCAGCCTCATGTGAGCTGTCTTTACCAGTCACCTCTATCATCCTTGATTTTCTGGCTGACTGGGGATGCCAGGTGTCTCCCTTGAAGGTTTAATTTCCCCTCATGTATACCTTGGTCTCACCCTAACTCCTTCTTCCTATAGCAAACCTCAAAGCTGCAAAGGAATACTCCCCCCACCAAACAAATTAAACTAAACTATAAATTAAACTAAACTAAACTGAACTTCTAAACTAAACTAAACAACAACTAAACTAAACTAAATGGGACCCTCTCTTCTTTCTGGGCCCAGTGGGCTACTTTTGTATCTGGATTCTCAACATCAGGGTCTCAGCCAAACCTCTTTACCAAGCTACTTTCGATCCCTTTATAGAACCTCTGGACCCCTTCCAATCAATCGCTACCCTCATTCTCCAAGCTCAAAGAAGACCCTTCTGACTGCTTCTGTATTAGGGCTCTGGGACACCTCCAAACCCTTTACCCTGTTTGTACACTCCTCTCATAACTTAGCCTTAGAGCTCCTCTGCCAATTTTATGCAAACATACCCCCCAAGTAGTAGCCTACCTGTCTAAACAGACTTAGTAGTATAGGGTTGGCCTTTGTGTTTAAAGCCCCTTGGAGTGCCCTCTCTCTTAATGATAGAAGCCCTCAAACTTACTGTCAGCTCATTAGTCTCTGCCTCCAACAATCCCCTTGAGCTCCTAATTCACTTATCTCTTTTCTCTCCCTCTCACATTCACCATATGCATATACATACACATATGTACATAGCATATTATACCATACCCCCCCAGTCACCTTTTAATGTTGTAAAACTCTTAATCCAGCCACCCTCTTTCCTGTAGACTTTAGTCCTCCACTGCTCCACTGTTGAGGCCCTTAACTGTATCATGGATGGGAGCACTTTTAAAGAATGCCATCCAGCTGCAGGCTATGCCATGGTCATAGATGACATTACTCAAGAAGTTCTGTCTTCCTCCCTCCCCTTCACACCACCTCACAATGGGCAGAACTTGTTACCTTTACCTGGGGATGAAACCAAAGGCTAACATCTACACTGACTCTAAATATGCACTTCACATCCTCCTCTCCCATGCCCTAATTTGGCATATTGTACATAGCATATTATACCATACCCCCCCAGTCACCTTTTAATGTTGTAAAACTCTTAATCCAGCCACCCTCTTTCCTGTAGACTTTAGTCCTCCACTGCTCCACTGTTGAGGCCCTTAACTGTATCATGGATGGGAGCACTTTTAAAGAATGCCATCCAGCTGCAGGCTATGCCATGGTCATAGATGACATTACTCAAGAAGTTCTGTCTTCCTCCCTCCCCTTCACACCACCTCACAATGGGCAGAACTTGTTACCTTTACCTGGGGATGAAACCAAAGGCTAACATCTACACTGACTCTAAATATGCACTTCACATCCTCCTCTCCCATGCCCTAATTTGGCAAGAGAGAGGCTTTCTCCCTTCACGGGGCACCCCTATTGCAAATGACAAGCTCCTTCAGGCTGCCAAGGCCTCTAAGGCATTTCAGACCAGATAGCCAAAGGCAACATTCGAGCCAACACCCTTGCTAAACAGGCAGTACTAGCCTCTGCCTCCCAAACTTCCAGGCCTCCAGACTCCTCTCTTCCTCTCTTATCTTCCCAGCCCTTGCCTCATTTCAGTCTCTCTCTTTCCCTACCCTCCCCCACCTCATGAGGCTCTCCAACTAGAAAAAAAGGAAAGCTGAGCCATCCTCAAAGATTCCTGATAGTTTCTCAATAATCACCTACTCCCCTTCTGCTTAAGAGCAGGCCTTCCTTTCTACCCCACATGAATTCCAGAGGGGAATTCAATCTCTGTATACCTTACCCAAGATCTGTCTCAGGTTCACAGACTCTCCATACCACCACCTACCTCCCTAAGGACTCACTAAGCCCAAGGACTGCTTCTGGGACAGGACTGGCAGATCGACTTTACCCACATGCTCCCCTCTTGGTGACTCTGTGATGTTGGTAGATGGCTTTCTCAGGTTGTATAGAAGTTTTCCCCACTAGGTCTGAGAGGGCACAAGAGGTTGTTCACACCGTTCTATCTCAAATCATTCCTTCCTTCGGCCTGCCTCCCTCTCTACAATCTGATGATGGATCTGAATTTGTTTCTGCTATAACTTGACACCTGCTACAAGCTCTCCCCAGAAAACCCCTTAACCTCAGACCCTAAGAACTCATGTGTGGCAGGCCCATCACTGTCCACCCTCACTAGCACCTCACCCCCCTTTTCCAGATGTATAGCCTGCCTTACACATCTAATTAGACATGCTCTACAATTGTATGGCTCACAAATACCTTCCTGAGCCTCTTCTCCATCCTGTATGTTCCTCAGATCTCCACCTGGGTGACTGGGTTACATTTCTGACTCTTCCCAACTCTTACAGCCCAAATGGCAGGGACCTTACCAGATAATCTTGACTTTTCCAACAGCAGCAAAGATAAAAGGGATCTCTCACTGTCAGTAGCTCAAAAGGGCTTCAGACCCTGATTCTAAAACTTGACTCCTTGGGTGACCTTCCCCCCACTTATACTTCTACTCTCACAGGTTTGGCCTCTCTACGCATAACCTGCACAGCCTGGAGCTGCCCTGACTTATCAGACGCCTTTGAACTAAACAAGTTTCAGGACTCGACTTGGGATCTCCAGGACAAACTTCTCTGCGCCTCCCACCACGGCCGGTCAATCCCAAAGAGCCACGATGCGCCCTTGGGTCCTCTGCTTCATCCTTTTCCCCTACTCCTTGCCCCATTATGATAGCTGGATGCCCCTCATTAACCTCACTCACCACTTCCTACGTGATACCAACTCTTCCTTTTCCTCCAACTGTTGGGTGTGCTTGTCCACCCAAACCCAAAGGTCCCTTGCAGTCCCAGCCCCTCTATCCACTTGGACAGACTCACCCATGAAACTTCACCTTACCTACTCAGCCAAGTCTCTGCCCGGCCCCTTTCCCATTACTGACATCGAGAGGCGCCTCCGCCTCTTCCACCCATTGGCTGCTTCCTATTCCTTCCGCAACCCTGAACGTCGGGCCATTGCTTTTCTTCAACTTGTCAGCTCAACAGGCATATTTCCAATAATCACCCGGCTCACCTCTGTGATCTATCCCAAGAATGACCGCTTCTTTGAATCTGCCCAACGCCCTTTATGGGGTCCACTCTTCACTGAGACTCTTCTCACCTCACAGGCCCCTCTCTGCATAGCCCGTTTCTTCAAGGTCCCAGCCTATGCCACCTTTGTGGGCACCATCTCTGACTCTCTCTGTAACTACACCCTTCATCTCTCACCCTCTACTGATCACCACAACCTAGATCTGTCCACCACCCATCCGTTCACGCAGGCATTGAAAAGACCAGATGCCAGATGGAATAATCCCCTCCGCTTTTCAGGACACCCGTCCCTCATCCCCTCAGAACCTTCTTACTATCCCTGCCCCACAGACAACAAACACTGCCATTCCTCCCCCGCCACTCCCTGGATGCGCTGCTCTTATTCTTCCTCTGGAACCTGCTATAATCTTACCCTATTTGAACTGGACAGTTTAACCCATCTCATTACCATGTCTTTGGACCCCATCCACTTCAAGGTTAAGCTCCAAGGACACAAGGACCCCTATCCACTCTTCCACTATCAGCCCCTCACTGGTGCTGCCCTGTCTGGAGAATATTCAGTCTGGGAAAATGAGGTCACTGTCCAAGAAAACTGGGACGTCACCCCAAACATATTCTCACATCTCCTTACTTTTTCGTACTCCTTCTGTCTCAACGCCTCAGGAGTTTTCTTTCTCTGTGGAACATCCACATATGTCTGTCTCCCAGCCAATTGGTCTGGTGTCTGTACCCTTGTTTACCAATACCCAAACATTGAGCTCCTTCCCAATAACCAAACAGTAACTGTCCCCCTTTTTGTTTCAATTCCTTCCTCAGCCTCTACTTCTCTCTCGAAGAGATCCGCTCACTTGCTCCCGTTCCTCGCTGGCCTGGGTATCTCTTCCGCCCTTGGGACGGGCATAGCTGGAATCGCTTCCTCAACTTTCTATTTCCAACTTCTTTCTAAGGCTCTTTCAGATACCCTAGAGGAAATAGCTGCCTCAATCACAACCCTCCAGAACCAAATAGACTCACTTGCAGGTGTGGTTCTCCAAAATCGCAGAGCTCTGGACCTCATCACTGCTGAGAAAGGGGGTACCTGTCTTTTCCTCCAGGAGGAGTGCTGCTTCTATGTAAACCAGTCTGGAGTAGTCCGAGATGCAGCAAAGAAACTCCGAGACCGAGCATCCCAACTCCGCCAACAGTCTGACTCTTGGAGACAGTGGCCAGACCCAGGAAGCTGGCTGCCCTGGCTGGCTCCATTCCTCGGACCTCTTGTCTTTATCGTCCTACTACTGATCTTCGGATCCTGTGTTCTTAACTGCCTAACCCGTTTTGTATCCCGGAGACTGAACCCCTTTATCCAGGACATTGCCAAAAGGCACGTGAACAGCATCCTTCTCCAAAATTCCCAATACAAAAGACTTCCCCAAGATGCCCCAGATGAGGATACCATTCCTGTCTAAGAGGAAGAAGTTATAAGAACATTAGCTATGCCCCCCTTTTCTACCTGTCTAATAGTAACAAAAGTAAGGAATGTTAGCTATGGCCATAGCATTTTGTATCAATAAAATAATAGAAACTAAAGTAATTTGACTTCTAGCACTAAAGTAACTTATTTTTCTAGATTCTTCCTTTCTCTACCCTAATGGCTGGCTATGAGAGATGTTTATCCAACACCTGACATTCCTTAATTCACTACTTCCCTTATTTCTGTGGCTACCCATAGCAACAGTCAAATATAAGCTAAGAGGAAAATGTTCAGTCCTCTTTCCCCTGTCCCCTTCAGTGCCCTGTGACTATTTCAGTCTCTAGGAAGAGTGTGGATTCTTGGGATTCTTGACGCCCACCCAGGCCTTTTCTTGGGCTCATTGCCTTGTCTTTTCTGCCCACCGACCTCCCATTAAGACCATCAAAGTGGCATGGAGCCTCCAGAAGCTGGAAGGGGCTGGCAAGAACCCTTTACAACAGTTTTCAGAGAGGTCATGACCTTGCTGCCACCTTGATCTTAGATTTCTGCTCTCCAGAAGACAAGACAATAACCTTCTCTTGTTTCAAGCCTGTAGCTAATGGTATTTTGTTATAGCAGCCCTAGGACACAAATCCATTCTGAGCTGTGGGTATGGCAGAGTATTCATGAGAGTCGTCTGGGAGGCTCAGGAACTTGGCCTGGAGAGCAGAGGTTTAGGGCAGGATGCAAAATTGAGCTGAGCATGGTAACTGGGATGGGCAAGAGGGACCACAGGGGAGGGAAGAAAGAAGGACAGAATGTAGAGAGGAAGGAGAGATGGAGCGGGCAGGAAGAAAGAGGAGGAAAGAAGGAAGGATTTCCAGAGGTGGGGTCCAGAGGTTCACTCAGGGAATATTATCAGAGTTGTCAGGATCAAAGCCTGGGTCCTAGCAGCTCTGACATCCTAGGCTGGGCTGCCTGTCCTCACTAGACCAATTAAAGCCACAATTGATAGTGAAAAGCGTAAAAAGGAGATTCAGTAAATATGGCCATATTGGGAGGAAGAACAGAGAGATCCACTGAACCACCAAGTCCATGTTCTGGGTCCTGACGTGAGGTTTAGGTTTAAACAGAAGACAAGAGGTATGCACACCTAGGCAGTCCTGGTCAGGTGTGGTCCTCCCCATCAGTCTCAGCTCCAAGTGTCTCCTGCAAAGTGATCTGACAAATAATCACAACTGTGTGAAACCTCTTCCTGAGAGGCAAGATCCTCCTCAGACACCAGGGCCCCACCCTTTCCTGTCTCCTGGCATGTAATTCCTTGGAAAGCTTTGTTTTCAATAGTCTGATAGCCAAAGGGAAGGGGCACAAGAGTGTTTTTAGAATACCTTCATTCTTGCTAGGATAGGGCAGAAGCTGGGGGTGGCAGGCTAACTTGGCACTGAAGCCATTTTGGTGAACCTTGGAGAGAGATTATATAAAACTGCAGGGGTTAAAAATCACCTTGCAAAGGTTTCAGCAAAATGTCATAAGAAGGGGGCAGGGGAGTACCTCTTTCAAGGATTTGATAGTGTAGGGAGGGGGGTTTGCAGTAGTTTCAGATGTGGAGCTGAGAAGGGAGATTTTATTAGGTAAAAGAGGCACTAAGTATATTTGTGGAGATAGGCCAGAAGAGGAAAAAATTATAGCTGTCAGTAGATATGGTGGGCAGCCAGTGGTTGGACTCTGGCCCACCATGCAAATACAGACACAGGACATGTCCCAGCCACAATGCATCCACTCATTTGTCTCCCCTGGACCATCCATCTTCTGTCATCTCCTTTGGCCACTCTGGGCTCTGAACTGTCTGCTAGGGGCTGGGCTCTGGAATGGGAGCAAGGACCACAGGGGTGCTAGAAACAGCACCCCACACCCATGGCCAGATGGAGTTGTTGTCTTCGGGTCATGCAGGATGGGGATTGTCAGCAGTGGGGCTTGGCTGATGTCACTTGACAGGATGATTTGTGAAGCTGAGCAGCTGAGTCACAAGCAGGGGCAGGCTCTTGGGAGGTAGAACAGGTTAACACCTCTCTTTCTAATCCCTGCTGGTAGAATCCTCAGGTTTAAACCCCACCTGCCACCACCTTTGTCCCACCTCTTCACTTGACTTGCAGTTCTAGTAAGATTTTGTCTCCATTTCTTCTTCTGTATCACAGGGGAAATTATCCCTCAGGATGAGTCATCAGTTGAGAGTCTAGAAATAGTACTGTCCTTGGGAAAGCAAGGGATTCTGGGATTACAGGAACAGTCATGTGCATGTACGAGGGACTGTTTATGTCCAGAGGTCTCTGTAGTCATATATATGTTAAAATTAGCCAGCATGTGGATGCTTTGACTTTCAATTTAGTGATATATTTCAGTTAGTATGTAGTTAAGTATCCATGTCTGCGGCCTACAGAGGAGGAACAGGCCAATCCAGAGGCCAGAGTCTCAGGGCCAGTAAATGGTGGAACCAGGGCTGGCTCAGGTCCCTGAGCCCAAGTCAGAGGCTGTGTACCTTACACATTCGACAGCCTCCTCTTTCTGAGGTGAGCTTGGCTTCCATTTGACCTGGGGCCGGCAGCATGGTGACACCTTCAGGGCTTCAACATTCAGGAACGTTACGCAAGACAACAGCAGAACCTGCAAGTCACTCAGTCTCCAGGCTTGACCCTTTGGAGAGAGTCTACTTAATAGCTAATGTTCAGTTTCTGGGTTCCTGGGCTCTTGTCTTTCAAAGAAAGAACAGCTCCTTCTGTGCAAGTTGCGACCAAAGCACCGGAGGCTAGAGTGCCAGGCTCATCCCAACAAGCCTGTCTCAGAGTTGGAGGACCAGGGCTGGCTGCTGGGTTTCCATGTCCAGGAGGGGTCCTTCTATTGCTATGCAGGATACTGTTGGAGGGGTGAAGAGCAGACTCCCAGCTGAGTCTCTGGGGATAGCTCTTAGATGTACACATCCAAAGCTGGCTTCCTGAGGAAAACGCTGTCACACTGTCGAAGGTGAGGAATCAAAGGCCACAAGTGAAGCTATTTTGAAGGGGCTGCCACAGCTACCGCCAAAGCCTCTCATCAGCCATGCATCTGGCAACCAGACATGGCAATGCTGTTGTTGAGGGGAAGCCACTGTATTCTTCAACTGCTCTGATCCCAAGTGTCTGTGGTCTTCCCAGGCAGCACAAAGATAGCTATGGTCTCACCGTGCCTCACCGATAGCTCCAGTTCAACTATTGCCAGACTAGCACTCACATCTAGACCCCTGGCTGCAAGGGAGTCTGAGAAACGTGACCACTGCAGTACAATGAATGTGTGAGATAACATCAAGTACCCACTCTATTATACCACCCAATATACCGTATTATGAGGTAGAAAAAAGACTCAGTACTAGCCCCAAAGATTTGCAGCTGGGGCTAACTCAAAGTTTAATTAAACTTAAAAAAAAATCTTATCTCTGAAGATTATGGGCATATTCAGTTTTGCCAAGAATCTTTTTTGATTTCTTTTTAATTTCCAAGAATCTTCTAGGTCACCCCAAAGTTGAATTCCTCCCACCAACGTCCCTGTTCAAAGTTCAGAGTTTCCTATCCATTAGGAGTAGGCACATGAATTCTTTAATTTTTTATTTTTATGTGTATGAGTGTATTGCCTGCATGTATGTAAGTACACCCATGTCGTGAAATGCCCATGGAGGTCAATAGAGGGTGTTAGATCCCTTGCAACTGGAGTTACAGATAGTTGTTAGTCACCAACTGGTTGCTGGAAATCGAACTCAGGTCCTCTGTAAGAGCACTCTGCTCTTAACTGCTGAGCCATCTCTCCAGCCCCAATCCTTTTATTTTCAAATCATTGAAATCTGAAAAACAAAACAGTTGCTTGTAATCCTCTGCCATCACCACGTCATTTCACTTTTCTCTCTGCACAGTTACATTTTGTGAGTGTAATGGCCACAGAATTGTGTTTCGCTTTTTCACTTAACATCACATGAATCATTTCCTCTGTGATTGCCTAACAGAGCCATAGTCTGTAATGGTTTCATGGCATTTTACTAATACACGTAATAATTTACTTAATTCCCCTCTGAGTGGACATTTAGGGTGCTTCTAAGTGTTTACTACTACAAATAATGCTTTCAAAAAGTTGTGTAGTGTTACAAATCCAGAAGTGAGACAGGGAATTTCTATGTTTTGGTTAAAGGACATCTATTTTTTAATGAGTATCAACAATTTGTGTGTGTGCGTGTGTATGTGTGTGTGTGTCTCTCATAATGTAGCTGAGGCTAGTCTGGAACTCATGTGTAGCACAGACTGGCATCAATGGCAATCCTCCTGCCTCAGCCTCCTGAGTGCTGGGATATGTTCCACAAGTGTGGACAAGTTCTGATCAACATTGGTTAAGTACTACTGCTGACAAACGTTGAATCATATTCCTGTGGCCTTTGTTAAACACTGAACTGGTTTCTACCTTCACATCCTTAGCACCACCTACTAGCTACTATGGACAGCTACCCGTATGGGAAAATGGTAGCCTTGACCTTGGCCTTGACATCTTTGTTGTGCACATCACTGTGTCTTACTTAAATCTGAGAGCTGCTGGTGATGTGGTAACCTGAACCTTAGAAGACACAGTGTCGGTCTCCCCACCCTTGTGGATCTCATTGCCCAGTCTTGCTGCTCAGAAGCATGTCTAGATAAGACCGGGAGGCTCCGATGCAGCATATCAACGCAGGTCCTCAGCCCTGGAACGCGCCCTTCACATATGTCAAGACAGAGCCTTCTATAAGGAGACAGACCTCTGCTTTTTTGATTTCTCCTCTTTCCCTCAGTTGGAGCAAGACGTCTTTAAGTTAAAACAAAGCATCCTGGGGTGGTCCAATCATTGAAGGAGCCAGCTGGAATGAGTTTAAGAGACCAGAGCCCTAAAATACTGGCAGACCTAGGCCGCAAAGTTTTATTCAGCCCCTTGGGTCCTCTTGCTATGTCCTTAATTCTACAACTCCCCTTCCCTGTGACCACTCCTATGCCCAGCCACTCTGCTTCCGTAACTGACATTCACGGTAACTGCCCCGTACCCTCCTCCCTCCTGCCCAGCCTTGGGAATGCTACAGCTGCCTGAGCAATATTGTCGGTAAAAACATCGATACTGGGGGGCCGCTTCTGTTCCTCATCTTGCAACTCTGGGCACAACGCTTTTGCTGACCCTCCCCAGGGACCTTCCCCGACTGTCCCTTGCAGATCTGCACCACCCCTGAGGTAGTACAACTTCCCGGGACACCCCTACATCTGCTCTCGCCCCCGTCCGGTTGCTTGGAAATGTGCACCGGGCAGTGACATCACACAAGGAGGCGGGTGCCCGCTGCCCGGAGCACCAATGGCGCGGCCGAAGTCGGCCTTTTCTTCCCCAGCTATTGGCGTCCCGGGCCGCTCGGCTCCACCCCAGCCCGCCATGGCGTCAGCCGCCGCTAGCCCCGGGAGGAGGTTCCCACTTTAAGAAGTGAAGTTTTCCGTCCCCTCCCCCTCCCTGGCCACCTCCTGCCGCCTCCCGCGCCCCGCGGGACCGCGGATGGAGCTCCGCCGCGGCGGCGTGGGGAGCCAGGCTGCCGGCCGGAGGATGGATGGGGACTGCCGAGATGGCGGCTGCAAGGACGCCGGGTCGGAGGACTACGAGAACCTGCCGACCAGCGCCTCGGTGTCCACCCACATGACAGCCGGAGCGATCGCCGGGATCCTGGAGCACTCGATCATGTACCCAGTGGACTCGGTGAAGGTGAGGCGCAGGGGAAGGAGCCGGGGGAGCAGGAGCAGCGCGCGCGCGCTTTGCATCCCGCGCACCGCCAGCGTGCGGCAGCGCCCGAAACCACGCTGTGTGTCCCTCCGGGTGGGTGCTTATGGGGGACACGGTTACAAGCCGGGGGTCTTTCCAGGAGTGGACGCTTGCAGCCCGCGCTCCTGGAAGGATGTCGCGTGGCTCCTTCCGCGATGCTCCAGGGTCCCCCGGGGCGTCCCCAGACCCCTCCAAGGAGCTGCGCACACGGATCTCCGTCGCGGTCAGGGAGGGGGCAAGTGGCGAGCTCCCAGCTGGCTGCGGCTTTGCACCGTCCCACTACGCGGGCGCGGCGCGGTGGCGGAGGCTGCCCACACGTGCGCCGCTTCCGAAGGAGCTGGCGGGGGGAAGCGTTCCCCGCGCAGCGGGAGAAACGTGGCCGCCTCTGGGTCGCGCGCTCTCTCGCCCGGCGCGTACCTCCTGCTCCTGGGGTTGTTTAGGGGCGGAGGGAGGGGGTGTCGAGAGGTTGCCTGGGCTTCTCTAGGCTTTTAACAGCACTTTTGGGGAAGGAGAGGGTATTGGATTGGCGATACACTGGGTGACGCCTCCACTGCCACCGGGTTCAACTGGAAGGCAGTGGGAACCGAGGGACGTTTGCCGCCTTTCGTTTGCTGAGATGTGGACCTGCAGACTTGTACTATATACTGCGAAGTTGTGTAATAGCTTCCAGTTTGATCTGGTCACTTCCCCTGAGTAGTTTCACATGCGCTCTGTCAAGAGGCAGCTTTAACAGGTGAGATTTGTTAGACCCAGTGCAGGACCTGGACAGGCCCCGGGAGAGTTGCAGGAAGTAACACCTGTCCTGACGGTGCACTTTTTTTGGCATAACTCATCTTATGCGCGGAGCACCCCAGGGAGTACGAAGAAAACTGAGGCCTGGGGAGAACAGATGAGCTTGTTGGCCACTCTTAGTCACTCGAATCCTGGGTTGCAGCTCCAGTGTGCTTTGGGGAACTTAGGGCAGTTCTAAGTGGCACTTATTTTGCAAAGCACGGCCCAGTTCTCCACCACCCGCACCTGTAACCTGTACCTTATTTCTGATGCAGGCCTCACCTGAGCAGGTGTGAATATCTGACTCAGCGGGTTTTCTCAGGGGTGACAATCAGTGGCTGGACCAGTCAAGTCCAGTGAGAACAGACACTGGACATTAGGTGAGGCCTGATGCACTGCCAGGCCTGAGTCATCGCCTCTTCTGTCTCTCCACTCTCCTGGGGGTTTGTTAAAGGATTCTTGCCTCCTACTGTAGCCCAGGGGATGGGGAAAAGAAACATTCTCAAGATTTTTAAGCCCTTCTGGGGAAGACCCAGGGTGTTGCTAGGAGGTATTGGTATAGGAAAGAATCCCCTAAATATAATAAGGTTTCCCGTGTTTGAAGCTATTGATTCAAGTACTTTTGGATAGAGTCTAGGGAAAATTAGGGGCAAGGAGTTATAATTTGAGCAGGCCGTAGACCCACTGGTGTCCTGGAGATGACATTGCATCAAAGGAACCCTTCTACATGGCCTTCTTGCTGTAAGTTTCATTTCAAGCATCACTTGATTTTACTTTTAGGGTTAGAAATAGTCATGCTTTTTGATTTGACACCCAAGGCATTTGTCTCCCATATGTAAGTTGTATACACTGTTTGGTTCTCCTATGCCTTTTCCTGCCTCTTTGGGTTCAGACTTCACCTGTGTGCTTAGTACTAATTTTTAGTTTCCACTTAATGGACATAAGAGCATGGTGTGTGTGTGTGTGTGTGTGTGTGTGTGGACATAAGAGCATGGGGTGTGTGTGTGTGTGGTGGAGCAAGCTGTCCTGTCACAGACCTTATGGGTCTTGCTTGTAAAATAAAGTTCTGCATTAGCTAGTCAGCAAGTTCTGCTAGTCCAGGGACTCTGCCTCTGGCTGCAGAAAATGACCCTCAGGGGCTTTCCTGTTCTTAACCTCACAAGTTGGTCGTGAAAGTCCTCTTGTTTCCCTCCTTGCAACTTTCTTGGGGTAGGAAGCATTTTTTTGTTTTTTTCTTCTAGTTTACAGAGAGGTTTACAAAAGGCACAGAGGAAGTTAAATGACACAGGCTAAGGTTGTATGCCCCCCAGTGAGGCAGAAGCTGAGTGCCAGTGTCTACCCAGATCAGGGCAGTTGTCTGCCCAGCATGAGGTGGCAGGGATGCTTCACTTGGGGAGACCACAGCTGCATTCCTTTTAAATATTTTGGGTGGTGAAAACTGAGTAATTGAGACCTGGTTTGGGCTGGCAGCCCTGCTGTTCACTTGCTCCCCACCTTAGGTGCCTTAGTTGGGCCATGAGGAAAATGGGCTCTTTACCTCTTTAACCCATCCCCCTTTCTAGGAACACAGAACATCCATCATCCTTTTATGGTACTGAAACGAAATCCAAGTAAATCACATCTTGGAAAGCAAAAAGGTGTTTTTGTTGTTGTTGTTGTTTTGTTGTTGTTGTTTTTTTTTGAAAGGCATGCATTTTCTTTTTGCTTTGAACTTGTTAAATAGGAATGTTGAGTCAGCCTGCTTTTTCCAGTTTTGCTATATCCTAGGAGGTGTGGGTTGTGGAATCCAGGGCAGGTCCTTGCAATCCTAAAGCTTTGGTTTTGTGGTCCTAAGTGTAGAAAGCCAACTTTGCTGATGTTTGCAGTTCTAATATTTAAGTTGCTTTATCATGAAATCTTGTTACCTCCCAATGTCACATTAATGCCTCGTGCTTTTAAAACTGTGGGATCTGATGCATTAATGAGTTGAGCATTTGAAAGACAGATTGGTGAGAGTGTAAAGTATAGGTAGGCATGGCTTAGGTAGGAACAAATGCTGCTTGTTGAAGTTCTGTTTGGGTTGCACGCGTGTGTTCACCAGAGGCAGTGTGAAAAGACGCATTTGGCCAGGCCTTGTGGTGCATGCCTCAAATCCCAGCATTTGGAGACTGAGACAGGAGGATGGAGAGTTGGAGGCCAGCCTGGATTTCATACTGGGTTCAAGGTCAGCTTGGGTTTTGTTGTGAGTTCCAAGTCAGCCTGAGCTACATAGTGAATTTGTAGCCATCCTGGGCTACCTAGCAAGGCTCTATATCAAAACAGATCGGCAAGCAAAGTATGAACATTATAGAACCCAGTGGTCCATAATTACTCTCTGATTCCCCAGCAGCCACTAGCCCAAGATTATTAAGGTGGTTATTGAAGACTTATAACCATTTTCCAGCCTTTTTCTCTTTTTCCTCCATCTCTCTGGCAAGTGGTAGGATGTGAATGCTCCTTCATTTTAAGAGAGCCCGGTTGATGGGACCTCTGGGTGTCCTCCATGATTGTACTGAGCTGTAGTAGAAGGATACCAGGACAGGGACATAGGGTGCCTGGATGTGTGCAGGCCCTTGTCCAACCGTGGCTCCTCTGTAGCTCAGGCTTGGCAGCATTTTCCCACGAGCCTCTAACTGGTATTCCAAACTGGCTAATGGTTTGGTGGCCTAGACCAGCGCTTGGGGTGGAAGCAGGAGCCCATGGTCAGGAGTGCTCAAAACTGTGGGGAGCATGCCAGGTGGGTGGAGGAGGAAATTCCATCCAGATTAGGCACAACACTTAGAGACCATGCAAGTCTGCCTGGTAAGCACAGGGGAGAAAGGAAACAGGAAAGATTTGAAGTGGGGAACTTCCGCTGACCCTTTCACAGCCCTTCTTCTGTGTGACTTGTGTGGAAAGCCTGGCTCTAAATCCCAGGATGAGCCTTCTTTCCTATGTGCTTATAGTGCTCACCATGGGCTCCTCAGGTGGACCTCGTGGTTGTCCACGGGGGATGGCCTCCCTCCTGGGACAGCCCTGGTGGGGCAGGTGGCCAGGACACCCTGCAACTCTTGAGTGCTGATTGGGGAGTACTGGGTGCTAGCAGCTGCCAGAGTCCCCTTCCATCACCTCTCTGCTTGGAACAAAGTATATGACAGATGATGTTGGTGAGCTTTAGGAGGGCATGAAAACAAATTGCTGTCTGTAGTCCTTGAAGCAAAATGACAGGGATTTTTCTTTCCTTTGCTGTCTTCTCTGGCCTTCACTGGGAAGTGCTTTTGGAAAGATGGGTTATTAGAGGGAACATGCAGTACAAATAGGGGCCCTCTTGAACTGCAGTCCCACTTTTTATGATATCCTCCACCCCCGGGGTATATGCAGATCTCCATATCTGTCACTAGTACTCTATTGCCAAATCTGGATTTGACACCCCCCCCCCATGTTGGTTTCCCCTGCCCAGAAATGGAGGGACAGGCTGGGGCACAAGGATTGGAGGAAGGTACCCCCAAAACTACAGTGAGTAGCAGAGGGGTCTCAGCTTTTTTAACATTTAAATGATTTACTTATTTGTAAAATTGATACATAAGCCTCAGCTTCTGGATATGGAGTGGCATTTGAGGTTATTTTAAATTTTACAAATTTATTTATTATTATTGTATGTATGATGTATGAGTGTGGCGTGCAAATAACAGGGTGTGCCTGTGGTCAGAGGACAACTTTGTGGAGTTGGTTCTCAGGATTGAATTCAGGGGATTGAACTTAGGTTGTCAGGCTTGTGTGGTGAGTGCCTTACTTGCTGAGTCATTTCACCAGCCCTGCATTTGAGGTTTTATGGAGGAATTTAATTGACTGCATTACTTCAGCCACAAAGGGGTGCATGTTCAAGGACTTGGGGACCCATGTTGTATAGAGGGGGATGTGCCCCAGAAACTCCTGCTTTCATTGGGCCATGTCTTTGCCCCTGTCCAGTGAAGGGGGCTTTCTGTCCCTTCTTGGGGGAGTACTGACCTACCTCAAAGCCCCAATCTACTGGCCTTGATTTATAGGCTCTTTTTTAGTTTTTTAAAGATTTAAGAAAATTTTCAAATTGTGTGTATGTCTGTGCCTGTGTGTATGTACAGTTGAGTGCAGGTGCCTGTGGAATCTAGAGGCATCAGATCTCCCTGGAGCTGGAG